ATCATAGCAGTTTGGAATTGTTTCAGCAACCTTTGAGGAAAGGTTGTGGATTGGAAACCTGGAATCGAGTTTCCCAGTTGAGACATCGGCTCAAGGGAGTGGTGTCAAATGTTCCGAAGCGAACTGAACTGCAGTGTCACCTAGGGCACTTGAAACAGTAGCCACACTGGGTCTTCTTTCCTTTGTTTGTGGGCTGTGGCCGTGTGCCTGCCCTGGTTCCTGTTGACCTGTTCCGTTGTGTGTGGCGTCTGGAGAGAAAAGAAGGAGTCTGACGTGCACTTAGGAGTCAGGGTGGAACAAGTTCCTTTATTTTGACATTGCAGAGAAGTAAGTAACTGCGGAGCCGCAACCACAGTAGGTGTTTGCGTCTGGCGTAGTGAAATAATGAAAGCGTTGATTTGGGTACACGAGAGGTGTACTTGGGTTTACGTTTTTCACAGGAAAGCCAACTGAAAAGGCTGGGACTTGGTTACAGGAGCTATGGCGTTCTTCACCCAGCTGCTGTTGCCTCTTGCTTGGGTCTGCAGCGCTGCCCACGGAAATCGAATCTCTGGGTGTTACAGATGCTATGAGGAGCATGACGAGCGTGAGCATGAGCAGCCAAGGTTAAGAAGTTCCGACACCAGCACAGCATGAGCATGGTCGGCCCCTGCCAGACCCTCTTGTCGAGGCTAGCGAACAGGACACCTGATGTCACAGACTGAGCAAGGACGGTTCTTTGACTTATAGGGCACCTGATATCATTGACCACGGAGCAAGGACGGTCCTCTGCTGTCTCTGTTATCTCTTCTCCCTCCGCCGCATGTTGCATGTTACTTTTTAGTGGCCGCCGTCTTTGTGCAATCACTAAAATTTTCTAAGTTTGGTTTTCAAGGGCTTTCGGTATGTATATCCACGTGAAACATTTTCCTCGCGATTGAAATGATCCATATGTAGTGGCATGAACCATGAATTTGGATGGCATGTGCAACTCGCGACTCAGAACCTGATCCAACCATATTTACGAGCGAGGATCCATGCCGCAGGGGAAGAGAGAACTAATCCTGTCTCCTTTGCGATTGAGAACAGCTGGAATGACACTCTCCGAGCAACACTACCTTGAATATACTACACGGAGTTTGACGTAGCGACCCTCCCCTTCCCCCTGCGGTTGGTCCCTTGTGGCGTTCTGGCCCAGTTTTTACGCTGGTCCCTTCCTCTGGGTATCTGGTTGCTTTTGGTGACGGCCTGGTTGCCTTGCCTTACTGCTAAGGGTATTGTTGTGCTCTGTCGTCCTCACTTATTTTGTCTTCTGGCAGCAAAGGCCTTTGGCCCTGTGTGGGGTTTGTTTTACCCTCTACACCATGATGCATGTGTTGTTAGGGTGCTTAGTATTACCACGCTGAGGTATTCATCTGTGATGATCCAGGTCCCCCATTGGACACCGCTAAGCTACACTTTTGCTATTCTTGGCAGTAAGTGCGGCATACTCCGCCCCTGTCCTCTTCTGCCTTCCCGGCGCCCTCTCTCTCGCTCCTGTTGTGGTTGTGTCGTGGTTTGCTGCTCTTTGGTGCCTTCCGTTTCTTCATGCAATCTCCCCTGCCCTCACTTAGGCGCTTGACGTCTGGAGCTTAGATTGGTGCGAGAGTGCTTTTTGATTAGTTTGGGGTGCCTTAGTTGATTGTGGTTACTGTTTGAGTGGCAAGGAAACAGCAATTTTCACTAAGTTGACTAAGGACTGGATTCTTTTGGCGCCCCCTAGGGCCCCTGTTTTTGCCCCTCTTCCTTTGCTTTGCCCTCCTCCAGGCGACCCGATGGCTCAGTTGGTATTGCATTAATCTTGCATTAGTCTTGCCAGCGCTGACAGACTACCGGTGGTGGTTCGAATCCCTGCTGGTCCACTCGGGAGTCTCAAGTGCGACCCGCCGAAAGGCAACGGGCGCCGACCAAAAAAAAAAAATTGCTTTGCCCTCCTCCGGCGGATGTTTCTACCTGAATTCGTTTGTCTCATCTGAGTTTGTACTGGGTGTCCTTTGTCCGGTGGCTCTGCGTGGTTGGTTGTGTCTATCTGAGAGGGGCGGTAGGTAGCCGGCCGAAGCCATGGACCAGGCTGCGCTGCAGTGAGTCTCACTGGAGCAATCCAGTGGTGCTCCCTGTAGGACAGCCTCGGGCGCCCGCGAGCAGCACAAGTCTGCCTACATGGTTCGTCAGTTGGTGGACGGGACTTGGTGACTCTGCAGCCTGCCTACTCTGTGGGTGAGTAGTGGTACGGGTTTGGATGCACTACATTCGTCTACTTTGCATACTGCAATGCACTGCAGGTCTTTCAGGGACGATGACATCCTGAAATGTCTTGAACAGTTCTGCGGTTGGCACGTTTAGCGAACCTGCAACAACTAGAGCTACGTTGCCGAATGTAAAGTTGGTATGGCGAAACTGTTGTTTGCAGTCATGTCAATCTTCGGCTTTCTTTTGCTGTCCGAGCGTGGAGTCATCGCATTGTCTGGCTTCATGCTATCTGCACGACTGAAGATATTTTTGCATGCTTTTCATCTTTGCGAGCGTTGCCTATAGCTGAGGAGTATCACTGGCGGAGCTCAATCACTTTGCAGGTTTACATTTCTCCCCTATGAAATTAGGGGCCCTGCGCTACATGATCTGCGATAACTGTATGGAAGTTTTTCACTGGCTTGCGAAGCTTCCTGTGCGCCACTACCGTCCGCCCCCCTACTGGGGGGGTACCTGGCACAGTGACCACCACGACATTCTTGCTCACGGAGAATATATGATAGTGATTCTGTCCATGGAGGCCTTCTGGACAAGCTGATCTGAGAGGACGCTGAGAGAGGCGCAGTTGTAGCCCCGTGCTCATGTACAGCTTCGGCACATCTATGCCAAGGTAGACAGGCAAACTGCTTAGGCCTTCATGTCTTCTTGAATGTCGTGGTTCTTAATTCATTTTCGCATGTTTTTGAGAGTGATGCAGTGGTCAAACCACTGTGTCCTTTGGCAAATCTTTTTGGTGGGTGTTTTTTGTTTGGGCTCCGGCCCCTTTTGTGTGTCTGGTTTGTTGTTTCTCTTGACGAAACGCAAGTCTGGCTGGGGGATTTGCGGGTCGTCTGGCTGGTTTGTGTGTTGTTTGGTTTGTTGTGATTTGCCTGCATTTCCGGACCCTTTTGGTCCTTGTACAAATTGGCGTTTTACTGCTTATGCTCATGTAAGGACCGAGCCACAGTGCGACATCGGCCATACTCGAGGAAAAAAAAAATCTTCAAGAAATGAGATGGACTTTACCTCGATCAAAGAAGACAGACTCTGACAGACTGCAATTGCTAAGTCTCTGCTGTCTCTGCCCCTGGTGCAGCCAAACCACGGTTCGGGGGAACTTGATAAAGCTGTTGGTGATGCCCAAATAGTATCCTTTGTCGTTCAAAATGCAAAGGGTCAGCAGAAAGGCCTCAGAAAAGAAAGTCATATCGCCTTAGTCACAAAAGATCAAACATAAGCGAATCATTGAGTCACCGGCTACCGGCACTGTAAGGCTCCTCTGCACAGAATCACGTGAAGAATCTTGGAACAAGTCAGAGCTCTGTCAAGACAACAAGAGAATGGGCAAATGAAATCCACTGTGAAAAAAAATTGTAGCGAAAGGTCTTCAAGAAGTGGAAGTGGAGTTCCCATGGAAATATCAGAACTTGCTTTACCGGCGTAAATCACAGTGTTTCACCGTGGCTATGACCTCTACACAAACTGCTGTCCTTCTCAACACTTTCGCTGAGGTAATTGCAGTTGAGACCAAACTCCTGATACCTCAGACATCGCCGCGTCAAGCTTTGACCCATTTTAACCCATTCAGATCATGAATCATCACCACCCTGCGTTTTGCTCTTCCGTGTGGCAAGCCCAAACTGATTCGATGTCACAACATGTCGCACTTTCTCCATGTCCCATTCGCCTCTTTTAATCTAGGTTGATGTCTCTGAGGTTTCATGCTTGGCGTTCTATCAATAATTAAATCAAAACTATAGATCTCACAGAGATAACATTTGAGAAACTGTCGAAAATCAAGTGAGACGAATGCTACATCAGCTTCAGGCTAGCGGTTCCTAGCGGTTCAGGAGGGCTGGACATGGCTGGGCTAAAGCCTCTCAGCGAAAATGGTGATCCCGCGATCTCATGCTCTGTACAAGCGCCGACATGCGCCGGCGACAGTGCCGACTTCAATTCGTGCGACTCAAAGTCGGCTGTCAGTTAGTGCAAAGGCGAATCCTCAGAACAGAAACGAACAGCGACATTGCAACCTGCAGAGCTGCGCGTCAATGCCTGCAATTACGCGTCTGCGCTAAAACAAGGTGGGCCAGAGAACCCAAAAGCAAGACGGCACACATCACACATTTTGTAATATTTTGTGGTGTGGGCAGCTGTGCTCTGCGCGAAATCGACGCAATATGTTTATGGAGACATCGTGAACACTGATGGCATCAGGGGCCACAATTCGCCACAGCATGCTGCCTCAGCTACATCTGCATTTTTTAGTCGCTATTTATGCTTGGGTTTTCGTTTAGCTTGCTTCGCCGCGTGGGGGATCCAGGCCGAAGCAGCTCCTCTGTGTAACGACTTCTCTGTGCAAAAGCTCATCTGTGTAAAGATTTCTCTGGGTAAAAGACTTCTCTGTGTAAAAGTTTCTGTGTGTACAAGTTTCTCTGTGTAAGAGCTACTCTGTGTAAAAGTTTCTGTGTTGAGAGTTTCTTGAAAAGAAACTCGATTTTATTTCCTCACGCAACTTTCGTTTTTGTTTGCGTTTTGTTTTTTGGACAAACCAAAGAAACAACAACCAAACAAAAACTTAAACACATGAGCACATATAAATGGCAACAATTGTTCAACTTACAACGTGTTGCGTTTTCACTCAAGGGTAGGGAGGGCGGGTTGTCCCAAAATTTTGACAAAAGACTTGTCAAATGGAAACTTCGTGTTGTCTCCTGAGAAACGCAGCAGTGGAAATACAGAGGATGCAACGGGTGCTCTATTAGAAGGGTACGAAGTTGTCGGAGATTCTAGGCTGCTCACTGGACAGGAACAAACAGATGCTGGACAGTCATGTGACAATGGATTTGCAGATGTTTCGCAGAGTTTGGATTTTTCTCTAGGCATGCATGGAAATCACTGACGACCTTTTTGGAGACGGAAATGATGAAGATCTTTGCAATGCAGTTGAGTACGAAGAGAGCGTTTCTTTTGAACCATCTCTGGCTAGGTCTTCAGAACTTGGTGATGAGTTTCATGGCACTTTCCCTGAAACGTTTGAAACGAAACCAAACCCTGAAGTTTTTGACACTGCAACAGCTGTCGAAGTTGCTTCGCGTTCAATTCCTGTGGAGACCTTGGAGCCTATTTGGGAGCAAGGGATTTGGGGCGTCATTTTTGGCAATAAGCAGCTTATTGATGTTTACAAGCCTTTTGGAAGTTCATTGAAGAGACCAGTCGACACATCAATTGTGCAAGGTAGCAGTGGTAGCTCAGAACCTTCTTCAACAAGGGCAAAGACTGGGATTCATTCTGACCTATCGTATCACGATGTTGTTCAGGACAAAATGGACATTCCATGGCAGGAACAGCCTGATGCTGATCTTCAGAGCTCAGTCAAGTTCTGGCTTGCGCTTGTAAACAGATGGGACACAACTTGCAGTCTGGTTGGAAGCATGTTACAGTTGGCAGTAACTACCAGGGTATTTGGAATGTTTGCACATCTGTTTGCTGGAAGGTCACCTGTCACTATACGGAAGAGGGGCTACAGCATCATGCGGCTGTGTGACTACCTCGAGAACAAGGGGAGCGTCTTTCCGTGCAGTGAGGTCGAATTTTATGATTTTCTTTGCAGTGAACAGTCTTCCAATGCCCCACAGTCAAGACTCAAAGGGTACATGCAATCCATGAACTTTGTGCTTCATGTGATGTCAGTCCATGAAGTGGAACCTTTGACCAGGAGTGCAAGGTGCAAAGGAGCCTGCTTAGGTGAGTTTCTAAAAGAAAGGATCCAGGCATCTCCTCTCAAGGTATGTGAACTCAGGCGCATCCATGAGCTGCTCTACACTTGTGAGGACCTGTGGGTATGTTTGTTCTGCGGTGCACTACTCATGGCAGTATACTGTAGAGCACGGTGGGGAGATCTCATGCGTGCAGAGAGTGTGTTGTTGACTGTGATCGCCACGGGAAGTTGCAGTTCCTTGAGGCGAGGACGGGACGCCATAAGACAATGAAATCACAGATGCATCGTCACCAATTCTTGCCAATGGTGGCACCATGTCATGGAGTGGATGGCAGGGATTGGGGTTCAGTCTGGATCAAAGTTCGAGACACCATGAAACTGGAATGGCCACCCAAGGGACTCATCATGCCTGCACCTGGACTTCAAGGCCAGGCCACCAGTAGGCCATTGGAGACGCAAGAGTGTGCAGCTTGGCTGAGGAAATTGGTTGGGGGCCCAGATGATCCAGCTGGAAGACGCATTTCTAGCCATTCATTGAAATCAACATTCCTTTCACATGCTGCAAAGCGTGGCATTGGCATCTCTGAACGATTGCAGCTTGGTTATCACACAAGCAAGTTCGAGATGGGCATGGTTTACAGTCGTGATGGTGCAGCCGCTAGCTTTTTGGTGCTTGAGAATTTGATCAGGGACATTTCTTCTGGTCTTTTTGGCCCAGACGACACTAGGAGTGGTAGAGTCAAGCCGTTGGATCAGCCACCAAAACCTGCAGGAGATGGTGACGTGATTGACATCAAGGACGAGCCGGAGGTTCTCGAGGTGTCCAGTGCTGAGAGCGGTTCTGAATCAGATTCAACTTCTAGTGAAGAGGAGAGACCAAAGTGCGTCAAACATTCACCTGTGTTTCAACCTGCTGCTGCACCACCTGGTTTTTCGATGTGGCAGCATCGGAAACTCAAGACGCTGCACCTGATGGCAGTGGAGAACAGTAGGGTGTTTGCATGCGGCAGGAACGCCGGGGCCTTACATGAGAAACTAGGCAAAGCCCCTGAATTTGATACTCCACTTTGTGGCCCCGGCTGTGTTTCAACAGATCAAGAGACTGAACATGTTTTCATTTGTTTCAAGTTTCATGCAGCCAACTGTGCCTCGAGAGTCTCCCGATTCATTTCGAAGCTTGTCGAAAGGCACAGTTGGCGTTTTCACCCGCCGTGACGGAGCGGCTCCTCCCTCAGGAGAAACTTTTGTGTGCAGTTGTTTTTAACTTGAAACATTTTCCAACATGTCAGTTCACTCTCATTTTGTGGTAAAGTTTTGGACGGAGTTGCATGTAGCTGATGTCTCATCCGATGCTTTGACACAGTGAAAAACGGCACGCTGATTGGACGTTGTGGAACTTGTGACAAGGCATGAGAGTCAGCAGTTGATGCAGTTGATGCAGTTGACATTTAAGAAGCTGTTTCGATTGTGCTTGAGATTCACAACAGAGTCTTGTGCTTGCGCTGCATGTTTTATCTCAGAAAACTCAAACTATAAATGTGTCAATTGAGTTGAGTTTATCACCAAAGATCCCAACGCCACGTCAGTTTCAGGCAGGTCTTACCAGCCATACCAGCCATGGGTCTCAGAGTCCACGGCCGAGGTGTGACGAGACGACTGGGTCCACGATACGGCCCCGGGTGAGCCACGATACGATGGCCACGATGGGCAGACACCAACTGAAGCTGGTGATTTCAACAGAAAGTTACCGAGCTGAGAAAGGGAGAAAGGTGCGATGAAGATTCCCCTTGAGAAGCAGAGAGAGGATCAGCCTCGGCTGGAATCTCCATGGAATCTCCATGGAATCTCCATGGGGGAATTAGACCAATTAGACCCAAGCCACGCTTTGCTTGACTTAGCCCAGATGCTTGAAAGCGGGGCGATCATGTGGCTTGCTCCTTCAAAATGCAGCAAGCGTGACGACGAGGTGCAGATGGTGCAGATGTCCCTGAAGGACTCGAAATCCTCAGTCCAGATAGAAAACTCTCAGCTCAGAGTTGGACCAAGCGTTGAGGTCATTGAGGCCGAGTGGAACTCCGAGCTCAAGTATCAACGGTGCATGATGCGGAGGGGATTGGCCTTTGACCAATGCCGTGTTCTCAGTTGGAACGTGCATCAGCATTGGGTTAACTACATGCTGAATTTGTTGAGCAGGCCTGTCAACCCAGGGTTCCAACAGATCAAGCTTGATCAGCAGGTCCGAGCCGATAGAGAGCTTTGGACACTACTTGCACAAGAGGTTTCGGCAAGCTTGAAGATGGACGGAAACGAGATTCCACTGGACAAGCACGTCACTAGACTTGCAACAGACCCAAGGGCCACCATGCTGCTGTTGCCGCTACCGGCGAACCAAAGAGTGACAGAAGCGCCTGACAAGCCCAGGCCAAATCCAAAGGCTGGCCCTGCGAAACCTGCTGCAAAGGTCTCTTCCAAGCGCAAGACCCGCGCAGAGCGAAGTTGCCCTGAAGAGCTGAAACAATACACTACAAAGGTTGCCGCAGGTCAGATTTGCTGGAACTACAACATGAAAGATGGTTGCCAACTGTCTACAAGTGGAAAGCCCGCAAAGTGCTCCCGTGGTTTGCACTTGTGCGCTTGCTGTCACAAAGCGGGGCACTCTTTAGTTGTTTGCCGAGAAGCAAAAAAGGGTTGACAAATCAGCCCCACTGGACCGCCTCTCAAGTTTCGTAACGAGAGGGAGGAAAGTTCAGGTGGGAGAGCAGAAAGTGGTGCACTTCCAATGCAGAGCGCTGGCAAAAGCCACCATGCACCTGATGTTTCCACCATCTCCAAAAAGGAGGACCTTATGTCAGATGGGGAGCCGCCTCAAGGCGATAACCCGCCAACTTTCACTGCAGAATCCGAGGAGGTGCGAAGCAGCAGCACTCGGAATCAATTCAATTGCAACAGAAATTTTTCTGGGATGTCTTTGGGAGATTTGTATATCATTGAAATTTGTGCTGGTTCAGCAAGGCTTTCCAGAGTCGCTCATGAATGTGGTTTCAGGACGATGGCCATCGACCACTCGGCTGCGAGAACATGTGGATTTCCAATTTGCGTTTTTGACTTGACGGATGCAGACGACCTGGAATCACTTATACGTTTCATAGAAGAGTCAGCTGACTCCATTCTGGGAATTTGGATTGCGCCTTCATGTGGAACATGCAGTCGAGCAAGGGAAAAGCGTTTGTTTTCTTTGGAAAAAGCAGGTGTTAAGACACCGATTCCCTTGAGGTCCACCGCACAGCCTGACCAACTTGATGGACTTAGTGGACTTAAACAAAATCAAAGTTGAGAAAGCCAACATGCTTTACGAATCAGTTTATGTTGTTTCTGCACTTGCGTGCTCATTGCACATCTTCCTGGCAATCGAGAACCCAACGAACTCGCACTACTGGAGCACCAGCCCCATGCAGAGGCTTTGCAGTGAGCATGAACATCACTACGTGACGTTTCATAACTGTGCACATGGCGGTGACCGAGATAAGTCCACCTCTCTGTGGGTGAACGATAGCTGGCTTGACTCCCTGGCGCTCCTATGTGACAAGAAACACCAGCACAAACCTTGGACCACCACCATGACCAATGGGAATGTGCGCTTTGCAACAGCAGAGGAAGCGGCATATCCCATACTGCTCTGTGAAAGAGTAATCCATTGCCTGCGTGACAAGGCATTGCAATTGGGTGCAACAGCGCCCGACACGCTCCTCGAGCAGGCGGAAGGGCCTGACCCTTCACCCCTTTCAAGACTGGTACTTGGAGCACTACCTCGAGGACACAAGGTCAAACCTTTGGTTGCAGAATTTGGCACATACATGAAGGTTTTTGCTGACCCACAGAAGCCCAAAGACCTTGATAAGCTTCTGGCAACACTTCCAAAAGGTGCCAAACCAGTCTCGCGCCACATTGTTACAGGGGGTGATCTCCAGGCTGATCGACAAGATGCCACGGCTGTTTTTCTCGATGTCGATGACAATTCAACAGTTGAAAAGATCCACATTGGGATCCCCAGTGAACCGGACGATTTTGTTCAGAGAGCAATTGCGGCAGGTCACCCGAGAAGCTTGGAACAGCACCTGGACCCGCATGTCAAGAGCATGATACATGCCAACTTTGTTGCAGACCCTTCCATAGTTGCGAAGAAACGAGCCGACTTCTTCAGGAAGTATGTCAAACGAGCGTCAGAACTGTCAAGACAAGAAGAGGAGCTCAGGAGCAAGATGCCCCAACATGTTTTGGAGCTGGTGGGCAACAAACGTTTGGTTCTATGGAAGGAGATCCTCAGTGACTACGGATATCCCGATGTCAACCTGATCGAAGACATTGCAGCTGGCTTCAAACTCAGTGGGTGGATGCCGAGGTCACACGTCTTCAAAACCAGGACAAAGAGGCCTTCAATGGCCTTGAGCACCTTGAAGGGCCTTGCAAAGGCTCTGAACACAGCCGCCCTTCGAAACATGGATGTCAGGCAAGACTCCGACTTAGAAGCCGCCACATGGCATGAAACTGAAGAGGAAGTTAGGAAAGGCTGGATATGGTTTGACGATGGCGAGCACAATGGTTCGCAAAGATTCGTTGGAAGGCGCTTCGGTATCAAACAATCCAACAAAATTCGAGTCATTGATGATTGCTCTTGTTGCGGGCTGAATTGGACAGTTGGTTTACATGAGAAATTCCAGTTGCAGTCCATTGACATATTGGCCTGCATCATAGCTGAAGCGTTCAGGAACACCGGGGATGGTCCTTTTCCTTCTGTTTTTGGAAGGTGCTACGACTTGAAAAGTGCGTACAAGCAATTTGCAGTTCATGGTTCTGACAGGGACCACCTTCGCATGGCTGTCCGGTCACCATTGGACGGCGCAGTCAGGCTGATAGGCTTCAACGCCTTACCTTTTGGGGCGATTGGAAGCGTTGCAGGTTTCCTACGGGTGAGTCTTGCTGTCTGGTTTATAGGCCTGGTGGCTCTTCAACTTTGCTGGACTGTGTTTTACGACGACTACAGTGTGCTGAGCCGAGAAGAATTGCTAAACAGCACTTCCTGGAGTGTCGAAACTTTACTGGACCTCTTGGGCCTGACGTTTGCGAAGGAAGGAAAGAAGTTCCTGCCTTTCAACAACAAGTTCAAGATGCTTGGCCTGGAGGTCAATCTGGAGGGTTGCAAAGACAACTCAATGAACATTGGACACACTGAAGAGCGTAGGTCAGAGCTTGTGGCCAAGATCAATGACATCTTGGCAGAAGGTTGGCTAGATGCAAAGGAAGCCGAAAGGCTACGTGGCCGAATGATTTTCTTCGAGTCTTATGCTTTTGGTCGGTTAGCCAACAGTGCGATAAAGAACATTGGAAGATTCTGCGTTGAAAGCTCGGGCAGGAAACGCCTTGACTCGTCAATTCAGGGCAGCCTTCTCCTTCTCAGAGACAGAGTTTTGGAAGCCCCTCCAGTGGTAATAGGCCGACCCCTTGGAGATACCTGGATCATCTTTACAGATGGAGCTTGCAATCCTGAGTGCAAAACTGGAAGCGTAGGAGGCCTGATACTATCCCCTCAGGGTCGTTGCCTGTCCTTCTTCAGTGACGTCGTGCCGGAGGACATAACTGTCGAGCTGTTCAAATTTTCCTGCAATCCAATTCACGAATTGGAACTGATGCCTGTTCTCATAGCTTGTTTGGAATGGGGGTCCCTTTACAAAGGGGCGCTCATAGTTTACTACATCGACAACGAGTCGGCAAGGATGGCCCTAGTGAAAGGGAGTGGAGAGACGCATTTTGCCTCCCACCTTATCAGTGACTTCGTCAGCCTAGAGGCTGAACTACAGCACAAGACCTGGTTCGGAAGATGCCCCAGTCACAGTAATCCATCAGATGGAGCAAGCAGACTCGATCTAACCTGGGTCGAAAGCAAGGGTGCCTGCCGAACCAATATCGATTGGGAGAGGCTAAGGCATCGCATTGGTCTAGGTGGGGAGATGCCGGAGATGCGATGACTACGCCCCATTTGCTGGATGAAAAAAGGCTGAGCATCTTTTTCGACTTGTCGAATGTCAGTTGTGCAATTTGTTTTATTTCTCAACTTGAAGTTTCCGAATTTTTCGGCGAAGAGACAATCTGATCTTTCGTCGTTTCATCATCACACCAAATGTGGCGCGGAGTTTGTTTTCACACGCGTACACATACATGTGCGTAGATATGATTTTAGTTTATAACATATACGACGCGTTCTCGTATGCGCGCTAGCGATACGTGCGGTCATAACTCTTGTGCTATGTGTTTTGCATTTGTGGAGTTGGAAATAAGTTGAGAGTTTCTTGAAAAGAAACTCGATTTTATTTCCTCACGCAACTTTCGTTTTTGTTTGCGTTTTGTTTTTTGGACAAACCAAAGAAACAACAACCAAACAAAAACTTAAACACATGAGCACATATAAATGGCAACAATTGTTCAACTTACAACGTGTTGCGTTTTCACTCAAGGGTAGGGAGGGCGGGTTGTCCCAAAATTTTGACAAAAGACTTGTCCCACCCAACACACGGTGTTTCCCACCCTGTCTTTTGTAGCCTATCCCCGAGCCTAAGATGCCGGAGATGCGATGACTACGCCCCATCTGCTGGATGAAAAAAGGCTGAGCATCTTTTTCGACTTGTCGAATGTCAGTTGTGCAATTTGTTTTATTTCTCAACTTGAAGTTTCCGAATTTTTCGGCGAAGAGACAATCTGATCTTTCGTCGTTTCATCATCACACCAAATGTGGCGCGGAGTTTGTTTTCACACGCGTACACATACATGTGCGTAGATATGATTTTAGTTTATAACATATACGACGCGTTCTCGTATGCGCGCTAGCGATACGTGCGGTCATAACTCTTGTGCTATGTGTTTTGCATTTGTGGAGTTGGAAATAAGCGTAAAGGCTTCTGTGTGTAAGCGTGTCTGATTGTAAAGACTCCTCAGTTGTTTAAACGCCTCTGTGTGTAAAAGCTTCTGCGTGTAAAAGCTCCTCTGTGTAAAGGCTAATTGTGTAAAAGCTTCTGTGTGTAAAATCTCCTCTGCGTACAGACTTCTCTGTGTGAAAGCTCCTCTGTGTAAAGATTTCTCTGCGTAAAAGACTTCTCTGTGTAAAAGCCTCTGTGTGTACAAGTTTCTCTGTGTAAGAGCTACTCTGTGTAAAAGCTTCTGTGCGGAAAGGCTTCTGTGTGTAAGCATGTCTGTGTGTAAAGACTCTTCTGTTTAAACGCCTCTGTGTGTAACAGCTTCTGCGTGTAAAAATCTCCTCTGCGTAAAGGCTACTGGTGTAAAAACTTCTGTCTATAAAAGTTTCTGTGTGTAAAATCTCCTCTGTGTAAAGACTTCTCTGCCTAAAAGACTTCTCTGTGTAAAAGCTCCTGTGTGTAAAGGCGGCTACGTATTTTTCCCGGGTTTTTTTTTCAGACCCCCCAGGGAATTTTATTCAGAAACCTGTCCTCACAGGTATTGGCAGGAAGCAAGCAAGCAAGCAAGCAAGCAAGCCAGCCAGCCAGCCAGCCAGGCAAGCAAACAAGCAAGCAAGCAAGCACGCAAGCAGCAGCCAGCAAGCAAAAGAGGACAGCAAGCAAGCAAACAAGCAAGCAAGGAAGGGAGGAAGGGAGGCCAGCAAGCAGGCATAATCCAACCCGAAATAAACACATTAAACCTACCCGAAATAGACCTTGAGCCATCTGAAATGTTGAAATCAATTCTCACTAAACTTTAAACCAGCCCCAAACAACTCCGTGAACCAACCTTAAATAGACCCAAACAAACCCTAATCTAACCCTAAACAAACCCTGAACGTACCCCTAAGAAACAGTAGACCAAACATAAATAGACGCTACCAAGCCTAAATAATCCATAAACCATATTTTTCACAAACAAACCTTGAATAATTTCAATCCAGCCCCAAGTAAACCATAAACCTACACCAAGCTAACACCAAACATAAACCCATGGAAAAAACAAACAACTTTAAAACAAACCCTGAATCAATCTCAAGTCAACGCTTTAAATAAACACGTTAAACCTACCCTAAAATAAATCCCAGGCCATCCGCAAATAGACAAGCTGAACCAGCCATCAATAAGCACCTTAAACCAACCATAGTTAGACCCGAAACCAACTCTCAAAAGGTTACTTAAATCCATAAATCAACTTTAAACCACAAACCACCCGTAAGTAAACATCCTAAACGAAGCCTAAATCAAATTTAAGCCACCCTTCAATGAATACCCTGACCCCCTAGAAAACAGTACAACAAAACCCTACAGAAACACTTGAAATTTTCAAACCAATTCTACATAAACCTGAAGCCAGCCCCACATAACCCGTCATCCAACTTTAAATAGACCCTAACCTAAACAAACCCTAAATATACCCTGAACGTACCCGAAAGAAACAGCACAAACCAAATTGAAATACCCTCACAAATTTAGATAATCCATAAACCAACTCTAAATAAACGACCAAACATCCTCAACAAGTTTACACCAGATCAAACCTCAAATAAACACCCTAAACCAACCCGAAATAAACCTAAGCCAAATTTTAAGTAAACCCTAAACCAACCCTGAATCAACATTCAAAACTAACCTTAGGTAAACACTTTAAAACCAACCATAGATAAAACAACAAAATACCTAGAATCTTGAAACCGACAGTGAATAAATTTCAAAGCAACCCTACATAACCAAACAAACAATCTTAAATAATTTTTTTAAACGAACCTAAATAAATCACAAATTTACAGCAAATAAACCCAAACAAACCCTAAATAAGCTTCAAATCTATCCAAAAACAAACAAACCTTAAATCAACCCGAAGCCAACCCTAAAGAAACCTTCAACCAACCCCAAGCAAACCTTAAACCAACCCCAAATAACCCCCAAAACCAACAAGAAAGAACACCAGAAACCAAACCTGGTTCAAACAAACCTTAAACCACCCCCAAATAGCCCCCCAAACCAACAAGAAAGAACACCAGAAACCAAACCTGGTTCAAACAAGCCTTAAACCAACCCTAAATAAACACCAAACGCACTGGAAATGAAAGATAATCAAACCCTGAATGAACCTTAAATCTGGCACATGCATCGGGAGATTCTCCCAGAATAGGCTGAGACGAGAGCATGTTCCTGCTCGAAAGGTTTTGCGCAGCCTCCTGCAGGTTGGTGGTGTCTTCTGTGGTAGAGCAGAGTGCCTGAAAAAAAATCCCCTGCAAATCTGAAAAAAATTCCCGGGGGGAACCTGTACCCTGTAAAAGCTCCTCTGCGTACAGGTTTGTTCGTGTAAAAGTTTTTTTGTGTAAAGTCTTCTGTGTGTAAAAGCTTCTGTGTGTAAACGTTTCTTTGTGTAAAAGCATCTGTGTGTAAAATCTCCTCTGTGTAAAGACTTCTCTGTGTGAAAGCTCCTCTGTGTAAAGATTTCTCTGCCTAAAAGACTTCTCTGTGTAAAAGCTTCTGTGTGCAAACGTATCTTTGTGTAAAAGTCTCTGTGTGTAAAAGCTCTTATGTGTAGAGACATCTCTGTGTAAACGCATCTGTGTGTAAAGGCTCCCCTGTGTAAAGACTTCTCCGTGTCAAAGCGTCTCTATGCAAAAGATGCTGTGTGTAAACTCGTCTGTGTGAAAAAAACTTCTCTGTGTAAAGCCTCCTCTGTGAAAGAGTTTCTGTGCGCCGTAAAGGCGTCTGTGTGTAAAGCCTTCTGTGGGTACACGCTCTGTGTGTAAAAGCTTCTGTGTGTAAAAGCTCCTCTATGTACAGGCTTCTCTGTGTAAAAGTTCCTCTGTGTAAAGCTTTCTCTGCGTAAAAGACTTCTCTGTGTAAAAGCTTCTGTGTGTACAAGCTTCTCTCTGTAAGAGCTACTCTGTGTAAAAGCTTCTGCGCGGAAAGGCTTCTGTTTGTAAGCGTGTCTGTGTGTAAAGACTCCTCTGTTTAAGCCCCTCTGCGTGTAAAAGCTTCTGCGTGTAAAAGCTCCTCTGTGTAAAAGCTAATTGTGTAAAAGCTTCTGTGTGTAAAATCTCCTCTGTGTAAAGACTTCTCCGTGTAAAAGCTCCTCTGTGTAAAGACTTCTCTGCCTAAAAGACTTCTCTGTGTAAAAGATTCTGTGTGTAAAAGCACCTGTGTGTAAAAGCTCCTCTGTGTACAGGTTTGTTTGTGCAAAAGCTTTTTTGTGTAAAAGCTTCTGTGTGTAAAAGCTTCTGTGTGTAAACGTTTCTTTGTGTAAAAGCTTCTGTGTGTAAAATCTCCTCTGTGTAAAGACTTCTCTGTGTGAAAGCTCCTCTGTGTAAAGATTTCTCTGCGTAAAAGACTTCTCTGTGTAAAAGCTTCTGTGTGTACAAGCTTCTCTGTGTACATGTTTGTGTGTGTAAAAAGCTTTCTTGTGCAAAAGTTTCTGTGTGCAAAAACTCCTCTGTGTAGAGACTTCTCTGTGTAAACGCGTCTGTGTGTAAAGGCTCCCCTGTGTAAAGGCTTCTCGGTGTCAAAGCTTCTCTGTGTAAAAGCTTCTGTGTGTAAAAGCTTTCCTGCGTAAACGATTCCTTGTGCAAAACATGCTGTGTGTAAACTCGTCTGTGTGAAAAAAACTTCTCCGTGTAAAGCCTCCTCTGTGTAAAAGTTTCTGCGCGCCGTAAAGGCGTCTGTGTGTAAAACCTTCTCTGTGTAAACGCGCTGTGTGTAAAAGCTTCTGTGTGTAAAAGCTCCTCTATGTACAGGCTTCTCTGTGTAAAAGTTCCTCTGTGTAAAGCTTTCTCTGCGTAAAAGACTTCTCTGTGTAAAAGCTTCTGTGTGTACAAGCTTCTCTCTGTAAGAGCTACTCTGTGTAAAAGCTTCTGCGCGTAAAGGCTTCTGTTTGTAAGCGTGTCTGTGTGTAAAGACTCCTCTGTTTAAGCCCCTCTGCGTGTAAAAGCTTCTGCGTGTAAAAGCTCCTCTGTGTAAAGGCTAATTGTGTAAAAGCTTCTGTGTGTAAAATCTCCTCTGTG